AATAGGCTCGAAAATACTTATACTATTTTATTAATTGTGACTTTAGTAATAAATAATAGTTTTTTTTATGAATTGAATAAAATAATAGATTTTTATGAACTTCTTCGTAGTTGGTATGTAAAATGATACCCCTACGGCCATGGACAGGCATATGTTTTCTGTTTTAATATATTTTATCTTCGTGAAAAAAATATTATAGGTAATAAGAAATCTGATATAATTCTTGAAATAAAACTTCATTTCTTTACGAGCATGTATTTCGTGTTTCCTGGAATCGCTGAGAAGTACCATATTTTCTTCAGTTAGTTTTGAAATTGATAGGCTACCGAATGGCCAGAGTTCACAACTACGTGAGAAGATATCCCGGATAAAATTTCATATCTCAAAGAAATGTTTGGAAAATGAAAACCGGGAAGTTTTGAAATAAACATTAATTGAGAAATATAAACTTAATATTCTTCTAATTTTCCTAGACTCTTGTAAGGGTAATTTGCGTTAGTAACTTTATTTTATAAATATCTTAATTAGAGTTAAAATAAACAAATTGTACTACAATTATTTGTTATCTGGATGATATCCGACGAGGGACGAGTTGTTGCACGTGCTGCACATGAGATAATAATAAGTCCTATATATAATAAGTGACTTAAATTGAAACTAATAGAGTCCAACAATGACGTAAGTCGTACATCTTAATTAATTTAGAGTTTAGAATAAACAAAAAGTACAAGTCCCTATAATGCTTACTTTAATCAGATTCATCAAGTATGGGAGAGCCCATACTTGAGTACGAATGGGCCCGCTCGACCGGAGTGATACCACGGCCTCACAGAAAACCGGCCTCACAGAAAACCGACGTGAAACAATACTGCGTTGTGTTTCCTCCTGCCCCAATCTCTCCAATCCCTGAATCCTCAAATTCCTAATTCTTAAGGCCGGTAACGCACTTGAAACACCTCTGGTATTCCAAGTGTCCACGGGCGACGCCGATTTTTTACCATCAGGCAATTCGTCTGCTCGTTTACCCGCTTATAAATAAATAAAAAAGATTCTTTCTCGACTTTATAAATGAAAATTGCAAGAAAAACTATAATACTTACAATTTCAATCTTAACATAAAGTACAAGAATAACATGCAGACGACGTTATAAAGTTTTCCAAGTTATTCACAGTAACTTAAAACAATAGTGAACTAAATTCGAACTTTGTATGATCCACTGCACTTCTTACTTGGGGACTCAATATCATTTGCATAGGTAAGTTGCCTTGAACGTTCAAATATATTGGTTTATCTTCCAACCCTGCTATCTTTTTACTTCTAAGATGGTATTTTTGAAACTAAAATAGTAATAATAATATTTATTTTTCTGTGTTAAAACTATGGTGAAACATAATAAATAAATTAGGTTGTACGGCATACTCATGTATCTACTCAAGTAAACTCGACTAATTTCGAGCTGTAACAGGGGCCTATAATGATGTCAGTTTAATATACACTTAATTTCTTTTTTTATTTTAAATGCTAAAATGCTAAAACTAAAGGTAGGTACATAATACCTCAGTATTAAGTTATGTTAAAATCGTAAACATACTTCGTCAATAGCTATAAAATCAATGTGCAAAAAAACTATAAATGTTTGTTTGAATGTGAACAATAATGTGGAGATTTTTTCTAATTCAAAAGACAATAGATGGCGACATATGCTTCTGCATTAGTCGCAAGTAAGGGAAAATTGAAGATAATGGATACAAATTGCGGGATTGTACGAACTAACGTACAGAGAGTCTATTTGTTGTGTTGTAAAGCTGACATTGTATTTATAGGGATTTCAAATTATAAGACTTTTGATTGAACAGTAAACAGCATGGGTATTCTAAAAATGAGGTCTTTAACTTGATGATACTACGGGTTAAGTGGTACTTATAAAGGTTTTTTTTAGAGGTACCTTGAAAGTTCGTTACAAAACAACAGACTCTGGCGGTCAGTTGTTTTGCATATGTATATCAGAAACTCAAAAAACTCATGAAGAAAAAAAACTACTGTTTTCTATACCAAGGTGCATTCAATGTTATTTAATTTTTATGGAATAGGAGGCAAACGAGCAGACGGATCACCTGATGGTAAGCGATCAGCGCCGCTCATGGACACCCGCAACACCAGAGGAGTCCAAGTGCGTTGCCGGCCTTTTAAAAAGGAGTACGCTCTTTTCTTCTTTCTTTTTTATACTTGATAGGTCGACGTTTGACCACCATCTCGCCTGGTGATGATGCGATGATGGCCGACGATGAAGCACGCCTACCTATAATTATCAAAGGAATAAGCATCTATAGCTACAAATATTCGATGCAAAGGTAAACTTTTTACAATGACTAGCAGTGGGTACCAATGATGGATTTTTTTTTAATATTTATTTAAAAGCGATAGTAGATCTAAGAATAAATAATTTTGCGTAAATTAAATACATGTATGATGTGCCCATAAGTACTTTCACTCATGATGCAATAACAATAATCAAGTGATTACGTTCGTCCTATAGGTATGGCGGTTAATTGATGCGTTTAAACTAAATACTTGGGCAATTAAAAACGCCTATCTAAGCTTTTACGAGCACATGTTGGCTTTCAATTACGCAAAAGCAACGTAATGTGTATGTATCATCAACATGTTTTAATTAATATTTATATCCCAGGTTTACCTCTATATTGAGCAGATTCTACGTAAATATTTGGAAATTCAAAGTCTTTACTCGAACTGTATATTATTCACAAATAATATCCAAAATGTCTCAATATCATTAGAGATATTCTGTGTATCGAGCTGTCTTAATGAGGTATAAAATGATGCCTTATTTACAGAGTCATAAGTACTGGTTTAACATATGTTTGAACTTGCGAGTTCTTAAGCCGATTAATAACGACACACATTTTATAAAAGACCGCCTATTGCCCCTGCTAGTTATACTGTCTAAATGTAACTCTTAATAACATAAAATCACGCCTTTTATCCCCGAAGGAGTAGGCAAAGGTGTACATTATGCCACTGTACAATGTAACACCCACTTTTCACTATTTATGTTATAAGTCCCATTTAATAGGGGGTGAGCCTATTGCCATATACCGGGCACAATTCCAGACTCCGTGCTACTACTGAGAATTTATAAAAACCCTGTAGTAATTTAACCCGGTAATCGAACTCTTAATAAGCATCTACATATATAATGATCACCAGAAACATTCAACAGAATTTCGTAACAACTAAAGATAAATATTCATCCATCATAAACGTTAAACCCATATATGTTGCCTTAACGGAAACCCTAATAACATCCAAAAGAATGTGTCTCAAAATAAAATTGAACAAAACGTCCGGAGTGGGGTATAAAGTTTAGGAGCTGTGTGCACCTGAGCCTGCTCATGGTGACCTCACAATGATTGATTATGACAAAATACACCCAAGTACATGGTACATATGGTACATTTTACACGCGCGATTGAAGATTCGTATTTAGATAAGCAAAATGAATTACCTACTTTATTAAGGATTGAGCGTTTTTCCTGTTGCCTACTCAATTTGTTTTTTTTTCTACGTAGGCTTGTTTGTTTTATGTTCGTATGACGAGTGATGCTAATTTATTCTTTGATATGAATTTGTGAGGGAATTCGTGTCTTGTTAGGTGTAATTGGGAGTGTACGAAATGTTATCCACCTTCGCAGAATTGGTTTGACAGAAAAATTACAACAGATTTCGTTTACGTATTATTTTGTGACTGTAATTTGTATGTTATTATCTTTATGCTAGTATATTATCAAGAAATGTATCATTAGTCTAGTTTTAGACTTCTACTGAATTCTTATCTTTAAGTACTAGTTTTGATTGTTATAAGGTCTAGTAAAATATTTCTCATTACTATATTTTTCACTACGCGGAGTATCAAAACGGCGATTCTTAATAGAACAATTTTACGAACAAACTAATTATGAACTTCACAGCAAATTTTTTAGTTTAAAATTTCAAGCTAGAACTACATAATAAGAATAATGCTTATGTAGCAAATCCAACAGTGAGTCAGCGAGTTGGTATTATCGGACTATCCGCAGGTTTGCAGGATATCAGGAACTTCCAAAGTATCGGTAGTGGGAAGTTCAATTGCTCTTTTGTTACAACCGTTGATTGTGGAACAAGTTGAGAGCGAGCGGAGATGCCATCCATTGATAATGTTCAGAAGTTATTTGTGATGTGTGGCGTTTGGAACCTTTAAAGTTGGTAATGGTACCTGGATTACAATGTGACTTCCTTTTCTTGGGAGTTTGTTGACGTGAAAATAGCGGGTCGCAGAGAGATTTAGTTGTTTACCTTCTTTCTAACTTTAATGTTATCAATTCAACAATATTTAATCTGGCTATTAATTTAGAGGTATTTAATATATTTTTCTAAAGTAGCTTCGTGTAACCTCTATAGTTACTAATCCTGTTGTGAATTTCATTAAGGTTAGGTAGGTTAGGTTCACATGAAAGTGTCACAAACTGATGTATTTATTTGCCAAATAAATTCATTGTCCACATTTTATTGTTAAAAAAATTATTACGAAATTAAAAAATCAAATGATTCGACACTTTAACTTCACACCGAGACTGGATTGCCTCTTGGCAAACAGAACAAAATTTTGACTTCACTTTTGAATGGTCGCTGTACAATATTTTACTTTTCTCTTAGAAATATTGCTGATCACAGTTATCACTTAAATGTTGAGATACTTTTTTAAACTTGCCCGCACTCTGTACCTTCTCCAATAAAACTAAATCAAAGTACTATAAGTTTGTATTTTGTCTCTGTTCCATTTTGACATGTTCATATCTACACTACGTAGGTACCTATACCTGTTCATGATTTGACATGTTACATGGTATGCTATGTATATATGTTTCCTAATCAAGCTCTAGGCTTTATACTCCACAGTGGTACTCTTCCTAGTCGTTCTCTTCATTACTAAAGGTGGTGTCTAGTCTAGTGCACGCGTCACTTGATGCACAACCCTCCTCCAAACGCCTCTGTCCTCTGCGATCTTTATGGCTCGTGGAACTGTTAGGCGTGTTAGGTTTTTTACAGCATTCAACCACCGGGTAGGTGAGCGACCACGAAGTCTTTTCCCATTAACCTGACCAACAACCACAAGCTTCTCCAGATTGTTGGGGTCTCTACGCGCCACAGTGGATCTAAAAATCGCAAAAACAACATGATAGTGTTGACATAATCATCGAAATCAAAATAAAATGCGATTGATGATTCAATGGCACGTATATATTTAGGGGCCGACTTAAATAAGCTATTATCAACATTAAAACTGAAATACCGATAATCATTCTATAAACACTACATTTAAAAATATACGATTACACTGCAGTTCAAATGTCAATACTTTAAATGTTAAGGTTTAGCAACAATTGTTGCCAGCGCCAAATTATAGGCACACCTATTTCATAGATGAACTCCGATTTCACAAATACCCTTTTAGCAGTTCACGTTCGATTTAGTATTAAATATTTATTTGGCCTGAAGCTGAGATGGAAATGGGTCATCTATAAAAGCGACCTGTCAATCTTTCGGTGCCCAGTCCATTATGTGCCTTAGTAACCAATTGGTTGCAACAAATTGCTTAACGCTGCAACTTGAATACAAAATTGTATGTGTTGACACTTTATTGGTTAATGAAGTGGATCTATTAGAATTGAACCAATTATTGCAAAAAATGTAACAGTTTCCTTTTCCTCCAGTCTATTAGAATTGTTAGTAGGTATGTAAACTAGTCGATCAAGTTCTCATACCTTTCTGTTCGAAAGAATATGTAAGGACATTGTCTCGTAAGGTCTTTGTCGGCAACAGACGTGAGATCGTAGCACAAAATCACAATGAGTAATTGACGCAATTTGCATTTATGGGTGAATTATTAAAATATCGTAACCTCCGACATTATTTGCGGCAACACAAACCGCATCCTAAGATACAAAGGCTCGATAGCAAATGTGCCCTTTGAACTTTATCCCACGGCGCTCGGCAGGAATGCAGCGTCGTGACGCGCGGACAATTACAGTTTTCAAGCTCCACTTGCACGTACTCGACTAAATCACTGTCTATTAAACCCACACCAGAAAACTGTCCATATTTAGCAAGCTGGCTTTTGACACAGAATTGGTTTGCGGTGTCCCTTCTATACACCTATCTAAATTCATACCCCACTATTAATAAATGCGACAGTCACAACTCACAGCGTACCGTGCATGCGAATCTCACCGTTTGCAACGAAATTAACGCTAACTCCGAACTTGGTTTGTTTGAATCCATTACGTGTCTAGAATGGCTCATAGTGTGGAAGCAATAATTCATACGAACTTATATATCTAACTACATTTCTCAAAGCTATCAAACTTTACTCCATAGACAATCCAATCGCGGGGAGAGTTCAACGTCGACTTTTGCATACAAACTTTGTTGTCTACAGATTGTTCGTGCAATGTCAAACTGATCCAGACAATTGAACCAATTAATCGGTTTTCTCGGAGTTGATATTTGATTAATGTTAGTCGATTATCGGCAGATATTAGAGGTGTTCGAATCTGCGAGGGAAGTGCATATCCAGTTCAGTGTGGTCGTGACTTTAGGATCTTTTAAAGTACACACTTAGCATTCTTTCTTCATAAGTCAATATTCGCTTTAATATACGTACAGTTAGTTGCAAAAGTGGTATTGTTTAAGTTGTCCAATCATCTATCGAAATTAGATTGACATTTCGCTTTCAACTACTGTCAATTACGAGCTACAGTTGATAACTAGGTTCATTTATTGAATGCAAAAAATCAATAATAATGTAGTTATAATAATAAGTAGCTGTAGGTTATTGCTATTCGAATTAGATAGCAGTTTCAAACTGGTCTAGTTTGTGATAAGTGCATGTTGATTAACATTTTGGTGTAGTTAATTTTAGTCTGTCTTAAAGGCTTGACCCAAATATTAGTTATTAGTGGTTTAAATGGCGGCATTAGTAACTTGGAATAGTTTGAGCCGATAATTTCAAGGTTTCCGGGTAGATGTTATAGCTTCGGCTGATTGAAGTTCACATTGCATTGTATTTACCAAGTTGTTTAATGGTGTAGACAACTGCAGTTACCTACTTTAACAAATAACTATTCACATCAGCCACAAAAGTACCAGGAGAACAGAAACAAGAAGTAGTTAGCACGTCTTACGTTCACCTATTCGAACTAAAATTTTGTTTGAGAGCGCGTGACAATGTTGCTTATAGTACAGCTCATAATTTCAGTAAAGGTACTTTATTTGCAGTCATAAAGCTTGTGATGACGTCATAAGCTGCCCCACACATACACAACATTGTGTACAGTGATAAAGTAGAATTGTGTGAATTCTGTCACTGAGACGTGGGCTATGTCTTTGCAGGACGCCACGCGTGGGATGTCTCGATTCTAAAGCAAATGGTCGATCTATTGTTATATATCGTAGATTTGTGAAGGGAGTTGGATTTGAATAAATAAAACAGTATATATCTTCTTTAGAGAAAAACAATTTATATCTTAGATCCCAGAATCTCTGGTTGCTTAGTTAGTTCTACCATGACGTTTCATGATTTTCATATTACATTAATTAGGAATGAACCAGTGAAAACTGAATACATTTGTACAAATCTGTTTATTCCACTTGTATACACGTGTTGAGGCATGTTGTTATGTATGTATATCAAAGTGAGATATTTGGGAGAACATTAAATAAACGTTTATTAGAAAGGTCGAGGGGTTAGAAAGCGATATCCTCAACAGCGCCCTCTATCATTATGGGAACTAAAATCGCCTTGAGCAAATCGTGGGACGAAGACTCCTTGGGTTTAGCAGACGTACGTGTATGTATATAATATGTATGTATATATGTGGATAAGTTGTGTATTTTGTATGAAACATGTCAGAGAGCTGAACGCCTCAGGGCTGGAACGATCCAATAGAAAATCTCCTCACAAGGGTGAAAACAAGATTTTAAACTCAAATCACGTTCTTGCTACAAATCATGGAAGTCAATTTTGTTAATTAAGTGCTATATAATATTCAAGTCAAAATTAGCATTGAAATAATTATACTGAAACTGAATTGGTAGGTTATTTACTGGTAATACTAGTTATTAACGCAATTTTGCTTCCAACAGATTTAAAAGGACATCGGACTCACAGGGAAATACCTAGTTTAAAATCGACCTTTAGGCTCTTTTGTATAGAACGTAGTTGTTCCTATTTTGAATGACAATCACCTCACATTTTTACTCAAATAACAACATTAAAAGTACAATTGAAAAGTGAGTAAGAAGACTGAACTGCTTCAACAACTCCTTCATAAAGAAAAAAGGCCGTCTATTTAGAATCATACACAATACATTGATCGATGTAATAAATTTTCACGCCAAAAATCGACGTAACATTTTAGTACTAAGTAATTTAACTGATAAATCACAAAAGGTCGACATCATCAATCGTACCAAGAAAGTCCAAGCGATTTATATGAGAAAATAAGAATCAAAGTATTCTTAACTTTATTAGGTCTAAGTTAGCTGCCTTTATACTTTCAGGAGTTTATCGTAGCCGTTTTATTTGATTGCCATTCGATACTGCAATAAAAACGATAGCAAATCCCTAGGACGTACAACAAAGTTCGAGGATTGTGAGAAAATATATTACTACGTTGACTTTGTAACAGGATATTTTCAATTTTTCTCTAATAAAAGAAAAGTTTTATTAAGGAACTAAGCGAAGTATCGATGAATAAGGCGTTTTTACTTAAATTTTTCTGGGTTTTGTGTACTGAAAGCGAATGTGAACCCATTTTATGAATACTTTGTTGTTTATTTGTTTGGTTGCTTATCTATTCATACCCTTTATTTCGTAAGTACTTAAGATTACCTGAGGATGAAAGAAACTAGAATTTTGTATGCAAGAAACATGTACCTTTGGTGTAAAATAATAGCTTTTTTCTAGAGTATATATAAATAATTCTCTGAACCTCCACACCTATTTATTACATGTCATAAATCAGAAGACCACACATTACTTGACATAGTTACTCCTTTGTACAATGTTTAATGTTATGCCAGCCTTAAAATTGAGCACAGTTCAAGGCGCGCCAATCCACAGTCAAACACTCATACACTAAGATTTGAAGGATCATCAATTTTAAATCAATAAAATATAATTATTCAATCATTTCTGAATAGGACCTTTATTAATGAAGAATACTGAAATGTTTTAGAAACCATTTATCATTCATTTTAATGGTACATACCTCTAGGTATGTATATAATAATTATTACATTCTTGTTATAATGTAAAATGTATGGATATTCTTCAGTGGATTAAATCCTCATTACTTAACACGTTAACTGCCGCGTAGGTCACCGGTGACCTACGTTAGCGAAGGATTTGCCTTCAGCAGTTTTCTGTCGGCAGTGAAAAACTTAAGGGATTTAATTCACGGATCGGTAGGAATTTTAAAATTAGATTTGAAAGACTGAGATAAATTATTTGGCAAAAAACTAAAGAATTCTTTTAGAGAAAACACTTTGATGTTGTAAGATTTTTCAATAGTGATTACCGGTTAAATTTTAACCAAAATAAAAGGACTGAAGAAAAATCGGTCTGGGCTACTTATCCTTTCAAGGAAAAACATGACGTACTGTTATTATGTTTACACACTGTACAACTAAAAGTTCCAATTTAGTCTTCTCACGACGCGACGCAACGTTTGCACGCCATTGTAAACTTGTCTGGAATTGCTTTATAACGGTGTTAAACATGTTTTACTACGAACCCCCTGTTCAACGAAGGTGTGAGTTGTTAACAAAGACTATTTTTTTAACTTTGTCACTTTTGTTAGTGCGAATAAAGTCTGGATTTGTTTAACATGGTATTCACTGTAATAGTGTATGAAACTGCTTTGCTGTAGCAGTCATTTGTTTTGTGAATGTTTGTGATGTAGCTACTAGATTTTTAGTTGCTAGTTTCATTTTAGTGGCAGGATACCGCGTGTGATACCTAGTTGAATAATTTTTTATTTGGTGGAGTTTTAAGAGGTGTTAAAGTTGGACATTATTTTATGTATCAGTGTACCGATTTTAAACTTATATAATGCTGATGATTGATTCAGTCGCAGACAATAATGCTGATGAT